GTTCAAATACTTCTTCTAATGGTATGCGCTCCTGACCAAAATAATAGTGTGTTATTCTACAGTACAGATTAAAATTGAAAATGCAATGACTAACATTTTATTTATTTATTTATTTATTTATTAATACTGGGAGCAGCATTTGTTGGAGAGCTTACCAAATCAACTCCCTCTCGTTTGAAATTCTCAGGATCAAGCAAAGGTTTATCCAGTTCCTCAGCCATGGTATATCTACAGATGATGCAGTTAATTTAGCGTTAATAAGGGGCGGTTGCAATAAGTGGTCTAAATAACATTTAAATCATTGAGAAAATATATACACCATTAAACTATGTGAAAAAAATATTCCAATAAATTTGATGATCGTTCTTTAACTACTTGTTATCATCCCAAAGTTTACAATGAATTTGTTATGTTCCCTACACCACCCATTCTGGTCGGAACAGTGACACATATAATAATTTCACAGACTAAAATCAAATGCCATGATCTAGTATGACTGAAGAAATCATCGCATTAAGTATTGGATAATCTCTGGAACTAAAATGAATTATTTAGCCTTCAATACTTACTTGGAGGGAAAGTGAAAGTACCCAGATGACCAGAAAAGTTGGAAATTAAGAAGATGAGAAGGTTCACTTCCCTTTCCAACAACAAGCAGCAGTAGGCACAGTGGTAGTGAGAAGAAGCATAGAGTTAGTAAGACAATAGCACATTAATAGAAAGGAACAATGTTAGTTCTATACTGGACGGTGATGACTGTTTGTTACAGTCTTGAGTGTTGGGAGCTGCCACCTTCCAACATTTTTTAATTTTTGACAAATAGAACTAAAAAACTGAACTAAGAAAGAAAGACCGTTGGCCTCAACTACCTTTCAAAACTTGCCTCTTCAACCTAACGTTCTCCCCCATTAAACTTACTTGCTTTGAAAAACTATTATTTCTAGTATTGATAAATTCTTGGCGCCATCTACATAAATTCGTTAATTTGTGATCAAAACTTTTTCTTTTTTAGATATTCCAATGGATTCATCGTCTCGGGACTAATTCGATTCGAGATTGATTCGAAATTAAGATTTTAAATCCTTCTTAAAAATGATACTGACAAAAAATTGAATACATGTTCTCACTCTCACTTACTCAACAACATGCCGCCAATTGAGTTACCATTTTTGTGACCAAAACTTAGGAAAGATAACTGTTGAGGATTATGTCGAGTTTGCGAGTATTCACGCGCGAGAATTATAATTCCTTCACTTATCCTCGTTTATTAAATAGGTACCATTTATTCAACAAAAAAACAAAAAAAAAAAGGTACCATTTCACTCAATCTCGAATAATTTTTGTAAACTGTCGCAGGGAAATTCGCATCCTTAAATAAAAGTACAATCCACCTCAGCTTCAACTTCGTATTATCTTTTTATGGAATATTGTTAGGGCAATTGGGCAAATGGTTCCGTCAATAAAACTTTGATGAGTTATGGGTAAACATATATTGAAATATCAAATCAAATGTTTTGCTCTCAACTTATCCAGATAACAATAAATTTTATGTGTAATCTGCCAATCCATAAAAGGAACTAAAGAAGAGGAAACGAAGAAATTGTTAAACTATCACATCTCTCTCTCTCTCTCTCTCTCTCTCTCTCTCTCTATAGAGTTCGTAGGCTGTAATTACTTATTTTTATCATTTTTTCCTATAAACAATTCAGATAACAAGAAGATCAAATTTTTATTATATTCTTTGATTATTTAAGAGTATTTTCTTAAAGAAAGAGAGAAGAAAAAACGCAGTCACATAAGACACTTGATTAAAAAAGGGGTCAATTTTTTTTTCTATTGCTGCAAAAATAAATTTATAATTATATACTCCAAAAAATATACAGTTATAATATAAAAATTATTTTCTCTCTCTCTCCATATCAGTGATAACTTTTAAAGAGAGAGAAAAAAAATAATTTTAATATTATAACTATATACTTTACAAAATACATAATTATAATCAGAAAAAAAAAAAATTGGCAGCAACATAATAAATAGATTTCCCTTGAAAAGATGCCACAAAAACCACTAAGATAATTTGATCATGTTGTTAAAAGAAATTGCTGGCTGGCACCAGATGGGCTAGGCCAAGCTTACATTATTTTGCCCATTCAGTTCACTAAAAATCTACGATGCTTAACGCCTGCACTTGTCCACAAAGTCACAGCAAATGAAATCTGAAGCCAATTTTTTTTAGTGCACTAGATTTTAATAAGGGTGTTCAGATTAAATTGATTTTGGAAGTAAAAATCATTTGATCCAATTCCTTCGGTTTGATCATGTAATCATTCATTTGTTTTGAATTTTTTATAAAATTCAAACCAATCCAATCTAATTTTATTCGGTTTAGATTGGATCGGTTTTCAATTTTTTCAAAAACTTAAAATTTGTATGATGATTTTTATGCAAATAACATATCTTTTGTATGTATCGACCTTGTAAAATTTGTATAATGATTATTGTGCAATTTAGAAATGTCAGTAAACGATTTTCCATAAAAAAAAAAAGAAATATTAGTAAATGATAATATAATTTTCAATATAGTACAACAAAAAGTTGAATTATCATATTGTACCTCCAATAAAAAATTTACAAGGTGGTTTGCCTGAGATAAGGAGTAACCAAAATTTTCATCTTATAGAGGAATTGATGTACAACAATAACTCATGCAATAAATATATATGATGTATCTTACCCAAAAAAAGAAGCATAACATAGATCGAGCACAACTCATTTTCTTCAACATGATGGGTTAATAGGTCTTGGGTTTAGAATTGTACTATATATATGATTTTTAAGTTATGATTAGGGAAATACCTAAGTAGGTAGAAGCAGTGTTATTAAACCCGGACCGACCCTGCCGGGTTGACCCGGGTTCCGGTGACCCGGTGAGGTGACCGGTTGGGGTCACCATTCGGACCGGACATGCATTCAACCCATAAAGACCCGTACGACCCGTACGATTTTTTTTCGGATCCCGTTGACCTGCCGGGTTTTTATCGGGTCCGGGTGACCAAAAAGAAAAAGAAGCAAAAAGGTCTTCCCCTGAAAGGAAACCGACAAGCTCCGTGTAGAAGTTAATAAAAGCTTCGCCGCCTTAGGAAGAGGGGTCGTCGATCGTGAAGAGGAGATGGGAATCGACGAAAAGAAGAAGTGTTGCCTTGGCGAGCTCAATGTGTCTTTAGTAATGGCAGTCACCATCACATGACCTTACAAAAAAGTTGTAAGTTTTGCCTTACAAAGCCTCCCTTGTAAGGGTTTCGTCCCCAAAACAAAAATATATGAGATTTTTCCATATAGATCAAGTGGTTGCCAAATGGGTATACTCCAGATTTAGAATTCCATAGCAACAGTAAGTGAAACAGAAACAACGCTCCTGGTTGTGAGATTTGAGAGAGAGAGAGTAAAAAAAAGGGAGAGTAGAAAAAGTCATTGAAAGTAGAGATTTTTGGCCAATCAAAAAGCATCAATCGGATTTGTGTTTTCTATTCCTCCTAACTCAAGTGAATCGATCAGCACCGTCCCTTCCCAAACCCAAGATGTGATCCAGTCCGTCCATCAATAAATGTTCATATATATATATATATATATATATATATATATATATATATATATATATTATATATATATATATTTATATATATATATTTATATATATTTGTTTATTTATTTATATCCGGGTCAACTGGTCCGACCAGTGACCCAGTAACACAGTATCCTGACCGGGTCAATGCCCAATTCGGGTTTAATAACACTGCGTAGAAGGTAATATTGGAGAATTATTGGATCGGTTTTTATCAACCAAATCAAAAATCGATCCAATCCAATTAAATTTTACGATTTTTTTTCGATTATCGATTTTTCGATTTGATCATCGTATTTGAATCAATTTCAATCGGTTGATGAACCTCCCTAAATTTTAGCACATTGCTGAGGGCGATCAGTCATACGCTAGTGTTTTGGGCCATATTTTCTTTCAGGGTTGATTATTCTTATGGATCTTGGACACAGCACCACCTAGGTCAAGGAAATATTTTTTCTTGTTTAGTAATTTTAGATTTGATTTTCAGTTTTCTCTCCTTTATAGGTGATATATAATTTTACTTTGAATTCTCAATAAGATTGATGGTCTTCCGGACTTTACATGGAGCATTTCTCCCCTATTCTAAACTCTAAAATAATATACATAACTTAGAGTAGTGCATTTACTCTATTGCTTTTTTTATTTTTAACCACGCACGATTGTCACTTATTATTAAAATTAATAATCGAGTATATACTAAATTTACTCCTGGTGCGGATTCCGCATACAATTTACCAATAACAAATTAACAATGTACAACTTATGGAGCTACAGTAAATTTCATAAATTTGAGAGAGCAGTTTCAATAAAAATGAAAACTACTTATTTCAATAATAACAAAAGCTGATTTATCAAATTAAAAAGAATACCAACCAGGACTTTGTCTCCTCGGTTGATTTTGCCGAGATTAATATTAATGCTTAATTATTGAAAAAAAAAAGATTTCATTTTAATATTATTAAAAACATGTAACTTTTGAAGTAATATTTTGAAAGTTAAACTTTCTCAATAACAAGACAATGTGCAATAAAATTAAATTAAAATGTTAAAATTGACCAAGACAACCCATAGGTACGGGTGATTCAACATTACACATGGACATGTTGTTCTTTTCTTGTACCGAACAGTTCACAGCTCATGCTGAGATGTTAGAGAGAGAAAGAGAATGAAAGAATCTCATGAATGAAACGCCTAAGATTAACAATTGAAAACGAAACAAAATGCAAAGAAAAAGAAAAAAAAATAAAGAATTGGAAAGCAGATGCACGACAGATCAGATAATTATGTTGCTGCGTGCAATCACACCACCTTCAGTTATTACTTGCCAACGAAGCTCCTCAGACTATCCTTTTGAAGCATTCACCCGTGCCAACTGGACCTATTCCACAGCCAGACAAACTGTCTCTGTAATATAAGTTTAAAACTACAATGTATAAAATTAACGGACCAATCAATGCGCTTCAAACGCGTATTTCTAACATGTGTAGATTTATGCGTAGATATATATAATACTATTTATTTTCTCCTAGTACTATTACTAATATTGTTAAATTACCGTATAATATCATGTATAGATCTATGACAAAAAGATGTTATGGAGAGGGATGAATAAGTGAGCTGAATCATATCATATTCATATGAAAAAAGATGTTAGGATATGATATGACGCACCTGTGTTAGCAGTGAGGGATGGGGGCGCCACAGAGGCAAAATGGGTTGGTATGGTTGGCTGGAAGATGTGGGCAGGGACACCCATTGTCTCGGTTCTGGGGAAGTGGTAGACAGGGTACATTGGCATCAATGTATTCGCACCCACAATAGCCTGGCTTGGGTACACATGCGACAACTGTCCATTCATGTAGCCCCCACCGTTTCCGTAGCACACCTTCTGCAAACACTAATTTCAATTAAAAACAATTCATATTTCTTACATCAAAAAGTAATTCTTTTCCTCATATTTACATTTAATTAATTTTGGCATAAAATTGTGCAACTGTATTTGTACCCGATTATTATGCCTACCTGATTGTAATTGTAATTCATGTCTGTTCCAATGTACGTCGGTGGGTACCTGAATATAATGTGAACAAAATTAACAACTACGAGATTAAAATAGATGTGAAAAGTGTTTGTCTTTTTAAATGACACAATTTATATTTTTTCACTCTTACAAAGAGGTGAGACTCATATCTTTATTTTTTTGTCAACTCTCTCTCTTCCTTTATCTATCTCTTCCTCTCACTTAAAATGACACAATTTTACATTCTTTAAAATGATATACACTTTTTCCAAAATAGATTCGGAGTACTGAAATACTATATCTGACTGTCCTATTAGTACTAAAAATAAAAGAGAAAAAATAATAAAAGATATAATTATAGTACATTAATACTATTATTTAACTCTGTATTCTTAAATAATTAAAAAAAACCTGTTACACACTACTTCATATCAATACGAGATGAATAATCGAATTGTATGGACATAAAAAAATTTAATGAAGCAAATTATATATAATAGAATGTTGTAAATATAAAATAACACATGCCTAAGCAGATGAATAATATTATTCACAATTAAAAGAATTAAACTTTTACGACATGTTCTTGACAATTGTAACACATATCAACATATCATAATAATATTAAAAAAGGCTTTACACAATACATCAAATTTAAAATAATTAAAAAAAGAATACCCGTAGAAAGCAAGGGCCTGATGATGAAATGGGGAAGCAGCTGGTGTAGGTGTTCCAACCGGATAGTACCACTGGAGGTGATTGGCGTTCCTCATTCCTCCACCATTTGATCCTCCTGACGTACACCAATTCGCTTTACAGTTAGACTCCTCCATCATGTTGATTGATAAATTCGATCAAATTGATTAGAATCACTTCGAGCATATGCATGTTATGTTACCTTGTGGTTGTGGCTGTGGAGGAGTTGGAGTGGGTGGTGAAGTGGCCGAAGAGGATCTTGGACGGCGTGCACCGAGCGAAGCCAGATTGCAGTTGGCTCGGCGCCCGTTGATAATGAGACTTGAGTCCTCGCAAGCCTTCTTGGCAGCCTCAGCTTCCTTGAAGGTTACCTTTATATATATATATATATATATAATTAAGTATATATATTATATCATATTATATTACAACACTATCGAAGAGGATGAAACCAATTAATATTGATTACCAATGAATGGATTATTAATGAATATATATATATATAGAGAGAGAGAGAGAGAGAGAGAGACTTACAAAGCCATAGCCTTTGGATCTGCCGGTGAGCTTATCGGAAATGATGACGGCTTCGAGGATCTCACCGAACTTTTCAAAATGCTCTCTCAAAGTGTCTGTGTGAGTCTCCCAGGCTAGCCCTCCCACGAACACTTTGGTCAGCGTTGTGTTCCCAAACTGTCCAACGTTGTTGTTGTTGTTGTTGCTGCCGCTCATCATTGTCATGATCGATAGAGGATCAATATCTCTACCACTCCGATCTTGTTTTTGTGAATATAGATGGATCCCTTTCACAGTCCACTAATAACTTATTAAGTAGCTGCTGGGGTGGTGCCTGGTCAGGAGTCACTTGTTGTTGTACTTGGTTGCACGTTATCTTTGATTTCTGAGACACATATGGGAATTTTATAACGTAAATGGATGCAAGGAAATTATTAAAATAATAATTGGAGAAGCAAAATAAAATCACACGGGACAGACAGGCAGACAGATAGACTATGGTTAAGCATTAGTCGTCATCAACGTGATCAAACACGAAAAACACACATGATACCCTTTCTCTCTCTCATCCTTCGCTGTTCATTTTGATTTTTGAATATACATATATAATATAAATATATTAGTACTGAATTCTCCATATAATTTTAAAACACAAACATTTAATATCGCAATTACAGGGTAGGAGATAATCTAGCTGTAAATAAAAAAAAGGAGACCATGTAGCTGTAAAAACTCCCCTTGTTTAGGCCTTTTATAAGCAAAAAACTTATGATATTCCCATCGTACCACTGTCGCACGGTGTGACGGGTCAATCAAAATAAGATATTTTTGTGATGTGTATATATACGAAAAAGGAAAAAAAAAATTAATCAAATTGTTAATTTTTTAATGGAAGTTGTAAATATACTGGACATATCAAAAATGTTCTCTTTTGAAAGATGAATAATGATCCGTTTATAAAAATTTTTTATAAATTATTTTATGTACTCCCGGAAGAAACTAGTGTAATCTAGTATTCTCCCGAGAGAATATAGTATAATTTATAAATAAAAAAATTTGTGAATATTACCCTCCTCTTAAAAATTACAGTAAAGTTGATGCGTTTCCATATCTGTGTAAAGGTCCATGCAGAAAGGAGTCAACACGCTTATATTGGCTTATTGACCATCTTGGCTCAAATCTCATTAAAAAAAATTAAATTAACACTATAGTGTACATTTGAACATATTTACTCTATCTAGAGCAAATTTGGTACGTAGTTGATTGAGAGATGTAATTTTGGTTTGCGGCATCTTCCTTTATTTTAAAAGAAGAAGAAGGAAAAAAAAAAAAAAAAAAAATAATTTCAGCATTTATAGAACAAATGCAAAAGTTCACTTAGCATGTAGCAAAACACTACTATTTTTTTTTAAAAATAATCAATCAAATAATTGATTCACATATTTCTTATAATTAATTCATTTTATAACTTTTTATTGATATATTAATCTTAATTTTAAAATTCCATTATAATTTTAATTCGTCACTATTAATTCCATTTTGATTTCAGAAGATGGTCAATCGGTCCGAAATGAAAAGAAAGCAGGACATGAATTGGATTAATATATCCATAAAATAATAATCAGTTAATGTTTAACACTTTTACTTAAAAATAATCACAATATTTCAAGTAACAAGTTATCTATGTATAATTACAAATACTAATGTAAAAAAATAAAAAATAATTAATTAAATATAATATATATATTTAAGAATTTAAAATAGAATATGGTAGACAAATATTTTTGGTTTTAAAAATAGAACTGTTTAATGTAAAAATATTAATTTTAGATGCTAATATTTTAAATACATCAATTTACAAAGGGATTATATATTGCTTTAAAAAAAATTATATTCATATTTGTAATAATGGGACAAAATTAATTTATATACAGTTAGTGTAGTGATACTCTCAATCTTAATTATTAGTCTCACTTATTTATAATAATTCTCATTTATTAATTATGTGAGGATGCCTGATCAACAAATATGATTTGATATAAAAAAAATTATTTTAATACTATAATAATAAATATATAACTTGTTACATAAAATATTAAATAATTTTTAAACAGAAAGTATTAAAATTAATTAATTATTATTTTATAGATTATTACTTCTGTCGTGCTCTCTTACCAAGTGATTGACCATCCTGTGAAATTAAATGAAATTAAAAATGACAGGTTAAAATTAAATTTGAATATTGAAACTAAGATTAGTGGATTAATTAAGAATTAATAGTAGCATTGAATCAATTAATGATTGGAGTTGTCAAATGAACCAATTACAGATAATAGGATGAATTAATTATGTTATTATTTATTTTTTAAATAAAATGAAAGTAGTTTATTTGAGGGTGACACATGGCAACACCAATGCGCTACGTGAATTTGTGCATTTATTTGGGCACAACACTTACAATTTTTGTTTTTCTTTCTTTTCTTTTCTTTTCTAATAAAGGGAGATGCTAGCAAGTAAAATTTGCATCTCCTTCAATTCATCATACGTCAAATTTGATCCAAGAGAATAAATATGTTCAAATTTATACTATATGTATATTATTTTTCTTTATAAATATGTTTAAACTTGCATAATATTCATTTTTGATCTGGCGGGCCATGATAGGAGAACATTATCAATGAACTAAGGTTAAATTAATTACATTAAGTAAGTCCCACATCATGCCATAATTTAAAATCTTATGTTATTGAATTCATAGGTACTCTCACTTGTATTAAATATACTTCACTTAATCCGTTATCAATTAATATTGAATTTATAACACTTAAATTTCCAATAATTTGAGCTCAATCAATTGGTGCATAAATTTCTAAATGCAAACTCGTGTAAGCCACATCACTTTATGTGTTTTATGCGAACGGGAAATAATATGAACCACAATTGAATGTTTCCCATTTTAATCAAATTTTAAGTACTGAATATAATTACTGTTTACGGCAAGTGGCAACAATGATTTTAAGCAACCAAGCATTTCAGTTTACCACATTGCTGGACAGAAATTAAAGCCCCTGCATACCCCAAATATCCATAGTAAGAGGATTTTTTTTTTTTTTTGTATAACTTGGAAGGTATCCTCATTCAACTTCTTTCGATCACTTTGTTCTCGCAATACGGTATGAAGCTACCCCTCATTCGTACAGCGGGTGCATTGAGTTACTAGCCTCCAAAGATTTTTCAAGAATTTGCTTGAGACAAAATTTGAACCATTTATTCAAACAAACCTTAAGTTCAGTTGCCAACTGAGCTATCATTGAAGGTTATTAAGAGCTCATTTTTGATGTTCAAGGAGTAGGCATTTCCTTTCCTAAAAGGAAAAAAAAAAAAATATATAAAAGAAAATAATTATAAAAATAAAAAATAATATAAATATATTTTTTTCATATTTAATAAAAGATATATTGAGTGTTTGGTGGACATGTAATACGGAAAATATTTTCTCATAATAGAGTGTGTATTGGGGCAGCTGTCTTAATTTGCAAATTATGTCCAAATGGAAGAGCAAAAACGAAGCGAATTTTAAAGAAAGAAGATTGATGCATCAGTCACGACTCACTCACGTCCATTCGTGCAGGAATTCCAAATCAGTAGGCGGATGATAGTCTAAAAAAAAACACCACCAAACAAATAATTATGTACCTGGTTGGATATTAATAGCGATGCTGCTTTTAACTAGAAGAGTAGAAGAGAAGTATATATATAGAGTTGTTGCTGAAAGACCTATAATTCAAACATATTCGGACTTGCCGTGACAGCAACAAAGGTGGCCCCTTCTCTGCCTCCAACCTGTATGTCTATTGTCTAATACTCTAATACTCATATATGACCAGACCAACACAAATATTCAGACTCTGCTATAGCAGTTTGTTTCTTAGACCCAACTATCTAAAGATTTTGTTTCTGTCTTCCCACCTTTTTCTTTTTTTGGGTCTTCATCTTCCCCCATCAATTTTTTTTGTTCTCATCTTCTATCCTATTTGACTTACCTTATAATGGTTGGGCCAATCATCCATTGGGTCTTTGTTTTTCCCATTGAATGATGAGTATGTTTTTTATTATTATTAATGGGCCTGAAGGCCCATTAGTCTTGGGAGAATTATAATAAAAGTCTACGAGGGCAAAAATATTTTATAAGAGGAAATTATCACAGACCGTAAATTATATTTTAAGTCTCAAAGTTAATAATATAATTATTTTATAATAGTTATTGGTGACATTAAGAAAGAAAAAGTAGTTCTGATTGTTCGCAGTCATTTAACACTGCAAAGAATTTTGTTTAATTAAAATAGTTTAAATACATTATATTTCCATCCCTAAAAGTAGAGTATATTTTTTTAATAGGAAAAGTATTTCTCTTGTTACCGGAGATAAAGTTATCTTCAGTGAACACAAAACCACATTATTTTGGGTTATAAAATTAAAAAATTATAATGATAAAGACTAATATAGCCCTGCAATATATTATAATTACATAAATATCTTGATTTCCATATCAAACGACATCATTTTGAAATCACCGGAAATAACTTATCCCCGTTGATTGGAGAAATCCTTTACTCTTTTTTTAATAGACTCTCGAGAGAAAAGTGTAAATTTTTGTTTCTATTTTTCATGTTTCAGTCTTCCGAATGAAAATAAACTTGAACATGAAGATTAATATATTAGAAATTTTTCTTTAAGCGAATAATATTAATTAATTAGTATTTTATTTTAAAATTAATCGGATTAATAGATATTTTAATTTTATTATTTCAATTAGTCTATTATGATCATGTTGAGCTAGGATTAGGATGATATCTGTTGGTATCGGGCTTAGTTGGACAGTAATATAAGACTTTGGTTTCCATCATTAATAGACCAAGTGGATACAAACTCTTTTTAAAATATTGAAGTGGATCTCTTCTTTAGCTTATAGTTAAGCCCCATAAACCATAATACTCCCTTTGCAGCGGCTGCTATTTTTTGAAATTGAGAAAAGTCCTAGCGCATCGAAACATCAAGTTGCTTCCTTTCCTTCGGCTTTGTTATAGCCCAACATCATACGCATATTTACACATTTAATTCTATTATTTTTTTGATGTTTTATAACCATTTACATGTATCACAATATCAGTCAAAAGATCAGAAGTTGGATGGAGTGAGATATCTTGGTAGAACACAAAAGACGGAACTTATGCATGATTGGAATTCATTTAGCTTTTTGAAAGTGAATGTAAAAGCATCACTTTTTTCTCATTTTCCATCTATCCGTCATAAAAAATCACATCTCGAGGCCTGCCTGTCTAAACTCAAGAGTCCATTCCAATCAATGAATATCCGTACTGCTTGAATTCTACTCTATAGCTGCTGACTATTGGGCAGCTTGTGACACACTCTTATTAAGTACACTGAATGGAGATTAATGTTATAAATAGATTACGAAATCAGGCCTTGTAAATTGTAATACACGAAAGGCATGTTAGTCTTTATCTTCTCCTTGTATACAGTATACACCATCCGTGCCAGGGGACCAAAGGCAACACTACTCTTCCCTAGTGTTAATTTTCAATACGTCACGTGGACAAGTTTGTTGGGCACTGTAGCGAACTCAGTTTGCTGATGTGTCACGTTTTTAGTGGACACCAAGTTCGCTACATTGGATAGCGAACTTGGTTGCAATTATTGCACATGTACGTTTTCACTTGCCACAATGACACGTGACAGACATACAATGAAATTTGCTAAGGGGGCAGCGAACTTCGTTACATGTCTGCCAAGTGGCGTGACAGGCAGAAGCGTGCAGGTGCAATAATTGCAACCAAGTTCGCTACTCCAGGTAGCGAACTTACTCACATGACATATTGGGAATTAATACTGTTGATGTGACATTTAAGTAAAAAAATTGTGGAACAGTGACCATTTTGGTCACTGGGACTGGGACCAAAGGCGGTTGTCCTTCCACTTGTATGCACAAATTAATGTTGAATTAGGAAAAGATAATCTAGATCCCAGCACCAAATCAAATATATCTATTCTGGGTAAAAATTAGCATCTTAAAAAGATCTTTCTCATTGTACTAAAAGAAAGAAAAAAATCTTTCTCAATATCATGCTTGGAATCCAAACTTTTGAAATTTCATCAAAACTTGGAAGCCAGGCATCAAACCTCCACCAAAACTGAAGAAATATAATTTGACTAGTTATCCACGAGTCCACGTAGCTAGTATCTATTGACTAGTATAACCCCCTCCCCTAATATTCTACCAACTACCATGTAAAGAAGAACTCCTCTAAGAAGGTTAAGCACTCTAGATGAGAAATTTTGGCTTTGCATAACAGAAGCTGAAAATGGGTCATAAATCCATCTCACAAAGGAACAATTATACCAATCAGTTAGCAACTAAAGGAAAGTAAATGCAAACATACTACATCTCCCAACCTAATCAAGATTCACCCAAAGATATTGGGTTAAAAAACGAGATAGTATCTTTGGGATAAGCTTGATTACTAGTGTAGTTCCTAATACATTAAACTTAGAACATGTTATGCATTAACAAAGTGTCATTAAAAGATAAATTTCAATTAGAAAACAGCTGGCCACATTTGGCTTAATAATTTGAAGTAAAAAAGATATTGTTGGGGGACTTGGTAACGTGAGGCAAGGTAGAATCCAACCAACCTCGAATCCACCTCAGAGTTGAGGTAAGCTTGCCGGGTCCATGTTCCCATACATAGCTAAACACTCCATGCTTTGTCTGGATTATAGCAGTGCCCCTCTTTCCATGCTCACCTTTGCCACTTTTCTAATAAACCTTCCTCGTTTTCGTACACCAACCAGTTTGATTTACGTTGGTAAAACAAGTAAGGTCACTATTTTATTGCATTAAGAAAGCCACGTTCATTCCCCCTCTCTCGAAACCCTGCAAATCCCTCAGGCCTCAATTTTCGAGCCTGCCCACGTTCACTTCCCTTTTACTCCATTCAGTCAACCTTTTGTGTATATCTATATATTAGCCCCTCTGCTCCACATACTCCCTCAAGCTCTTGTGCGGGCTTTTTTTGGTGTTACCCTTTGAAGAACACTAGCTATCATATCATCATATCCACAGCAATGGCTGAGGTCCAACACTACAAGCGAGGGGCAAAAATAAAGGGAAATGGCTTTAGCAACAAGTGTGCTTCTTTGGTTAAGGAGCAACGTGCTCGTCTCTACATCCTGCGCCGTTGTGCCACCATGCTCCTTTGTTGGTATATTCAAGGAGATGACTGAAACCCTCTCTTGATTAATTCACCTTCTTTTTGTCCTGTTTACATATATTAAATGTTATTATATATATCCTAAGTTTATTCTCTTCTCCTTTTCTATCCTCCAAAATGGTGACATCTTTGTTTGAAGGAAGCTCCTTCTTGGTCTATAAGCTGCTTGTCCAGTTGGGTTCTATGGGCTTCACTGTGGCACTACCACCTTAGTCTCCTTCCCTGCTTTTCTCTTTTTGACCCTTCTCGGCAAAAGCCTATGGGTTTTTATGGGGACAGGAGAGTTTTATGAACATCCTCAGTGCTGCTTTTTCCACTATCTGGGCATCAAGCTTGAACACTATATATGGAGCTGGTCAACAATAATTGTCTGAATTGTTACTAGAAAGAATATTTGGAATTTAGTCCTTTACGGACTCTACTTTTCTACCTAGTACTCTTTCTACAGTCCACCCCCTCCCTCCCTCCATCCCTCTTCTCCCAAAACCCTTTTTTCTTGTACTAATTAAATAAAGCCTTTTTCACTTTGACAATTGGCATTATAGCTTCAGAACTAGGACTTGATCCCTATGCAAATGAAGGGAAAGCTTAAATGTTGTATGTTATAGCAAACAAGTTGTAAAATTTTCAATTATTATTCATGAAGTTGCTTAATCGTGAGAAAATGTTGTTATAGCTTATTGTTCATATATGTGTGTGGAGAATTTGGGGAAACTCACTTCACAGGCTGGAAAATATCAAGTATTGCTTTTGATTAAATAAAATGACATGGTAATATTGTGGGGAGGGATCATGGAATAATATTAGACCAAAGGTTGATTTGACAACACAAATGTATTGGCCATAGGTAGTCCAAAATTTCATGATATCGCCTGGTATTTCATGAGCAGACATATATCTCGATTCGATCCTATTGTTTGTTTGGCATTGCAACACAAGATCTTCGGGACAAGACAACCGAACCAAGCGTGACCTAGTGGCTGCTAGCAGGCCATAGGCACTTACTTGCACATGTCACATCAAATTATATATGTAAGCAAAGTTGGTCAAAATCCTCTTGCGTTACTGCATCTTTACTAACAAATTTCAGTTTATCATTGTTCGTTGTATCACATTGATACGGATACGATACATTCTGATATATCAATTTTAAAAAATATTAAATTTTAATGTAACACCCCGTTCTAGAACCGGTTTGTTAACATCGCATTATGATATTAAGCGCAGTTACAATCACATGGGTTCAATTAAAATCCGGTTAAATTTTTCATTTTAAAACATGCCAAATTTATAATGCCCAATTGCGTGATCATAACCATATTACTTTGCGAAATCAGATAAACCAAGCTTAACATCATGTTCTTATTCCATTTTTAAACCATTAATTTACTTCTTATTTATTTTCCAACTTCTACTATATTGTAGATTTCTTCGTTAGCTACGCGTGGTTTCAAACCGCTCCTCATTTGGAGCTCTGTAGCTCAAGTTATGACAATTTTACTAACTCAGGTGTATGCTGAAAAACTACGCGGGCAGGGCGCTTAAGCGCGCTCCAGGGCGCTTAAGCGCCCACAGACAGAGGGAATTTACATTTTTTAGCCACCAAGGGCGCTTAAGCTCGCTCCAGGGCGCTTAAGCGTGCTACCTGGGCCCTTAAGCCCCCATTTTGGGCGCTAAAGCCCCAGGCGGCAGAAAGCTTTTGGTCTTCACAGGTGCATCAGGGCGCTTAAGCCCCCTCATGGGCGCTTAAAGCCCCCTGAGCAGGCTTAAGCCTCCATTTGCAGGCTTAAGCCCCCTCTTCTGGGCAATTTCCTATACTCATATTTTTCATCTATCTTCCTTGGGGAATCAATCTTACACATTTTACAACCTATTTAACAAGCTTGCGATATCCTTATATCATTGCTTAACTCTCATCCTCTCATCATTGATTTAACAGAAATTGGGCAGCATAACCTTTGTTTTCTCAACGTTTCCCAACTTAGCACAAGGTACCTAATTGACTTTCCAACTCAACATATCCAATACATAAAAATACATTCATGCATTTAACTTACAGTAAGCATCATACACAAATATCTTCATTACTTACAATATTATATCATGTCTTAATTACAAATCTCATATACATGCCAAAGGACTTAGCTACAAAATGAACATGATCAAAGCAAGTAACCATGTATCAGATACCCATTACTACTACAATGATCATGCACTAAGTCCTCCAAAATACATCATGTGGCATCAAAATATACATATAGCAATGCTAAATGGCATGCAACTCAACATGTCCAGCTATCAGGTACAGTCTACTCACGCTTCTTGCCTCGATCAACCTCACCTCTATCAGTACCTGAAATGATGCCCCACGACACGGGGTGAGATATACGAATATATCACAGTAAACCAGAGGTCCTTGGAGATCACTCCACCCTAAGGTTCACTTTGATGTACACATAATCATAATAGCTTAACACATTCTTATCCACAAGCATCACATGGACTTCCAAGAGAGATCCACTATGGGCTGTTTCTCTTAGGCTCTTACCACATGGAGATCCACATAGGGCTGTTTCCAAGGGAAGTCCTTTCCTCAATCTATTCCAAGAGAGATCCTCAAAGGGCTGTTTCTCTTAGGCTCTTACCACATGGAGATCCACCTAGGGTTGTTTCCAAGGGAAGTCCTTTCCTCAATCTAGGAACCTCCAAGAGGGATCCACATAGGGCTGTTCCTCTTAGGCTCTAACCACATGGAGATCCACATAGGGCTGTTTCCAAGGGAAGTTCCTACCAATCATCCTCATCATAATACTATCACTCATAACCTCAATCACAATCCTCAACCATTACCTCATTCATTATTGCTACTTCTATAATCATTCCTCAATTACTCTTAAACAATCAAACATCAACCAATAATCATCAATCAATCATAACATGTATCAATGCATGAATCAATGCATGAGCATACAATTACAATCATAATTACATATCACATCTCATAAACCATTTCTCCTCAACGGAGTATGGTGGAACACTCAATGGGATCAACCACAAGGTCCAAAGGTTTACCTTGCTCTTGAGCTTTCCTCAATTGCACACAACCCCAAGGGTTGGTCACTCCACTTGGTCCTCTTGCCTCAATCCTATCAACACAAGGAATACAATCAAACAATGCTAACAATGCAAGGAAATCCATAGTTCCAAGCCTAGATTTCTCAAAACATCAAAGCATACTAAAATAACACTATAAACTCATTTCTACCGATTAAATGTCATTCCTAGCATTTTTCACAACATACTCTAAGCCTCATTCTTCCTTGAACATAGCCAATCTACTCAACATTTCATAAAAACCCTAAAACACTATTCATTAAACCCTAACCATGAAATTTTCCAAGAAAACAAGGTTCAAGGGTTAGAATCTTACCACCAATGGTCACACAACCAAGGATTGATGGCACCTCAAGCCCCAATGAAGGTTGAAGCTCTCAAACACCTCAATTTCTCCAAAGGGCCGAATTTTTGAGGGGCAATATCTCACCACACAAAGCTCCCCACTAAGAACTAAGCTAGGATTAATGATGAGGGCGAGATTCTAAGTGATTTAGGCTTTTGAATCGCTCCAATCGGTTGAGAATAGCTCTCTCTCTTCCTCCCTTCCTTCTCCCTCCTTTCTCCTTCTTCTCCTTTCCCCTTCTTTTCTTTCTGTCGACGGTTTCTTGGGGGGGGGGGGTTTGGGTTTCTTTCTTGTTTTATCACTTAACATAAGTTAAGTGGTAACATGTGGGTATTAGTTCATCTATCTATTCAACTCCATTAATTACCAAACTTTACCCAAAAGTCTGGAATATTATTCTAGGAATATTTATATTTATATTTTTATATTTTGGGCATTTTCGCCAGTACCCATTTATACCCCTTAATTTCCACTGAGTACACTTTTTAACTCCAAAGTGACTCAAATTCATTTAATTAAGCCCTATACTTAATTTTACTCACTAAAACATGCTTGATTATTTAATTAAAATTAATCAATTAAATGCTTAAGTTTGGGGTATTATATTTAATATGTTAAAAATAATTTTAATATTAAATAATATTTTAATTTATATAATGTATATTATATTTAATATTTAATAAGTTAATAAAAAATTAAAAATTAAATTAAATTTATAATATTCATCAATTTTACAAATAAACATAAATTGTAAATATTTATTATTATTGTTCAAAAAAAATTTACCGTTATATTTTCAAATTGAAAGTTTTATTATACACTCCGTTAAAATTATTCGGTATTAAATTTTAATTTTTTTGTTGTTAACATTCATTTTTAATTTTTATTATATCAGTTTGGTAAAATATTGTTTAATTTTTTCATTATATATAATGAAATTTTAAATATTATAAATATTAGAACGTATTAAAATGTCGAAAAATGTCTAATACTATACTTTAGATTTTTTGAAATGTCATTATAATATAAATAATACTACTTCAAATATATCGATAGCTAAGAAGGCAAAAAGAAAAGCAGAAAACTTCGGTTTATTTAAACTAGCCGTATACCTTGATTTGTCTTTCTGTGACATTGTTTATAAGTGGTGGTTTATACAGCTGCTAGTCGAGGCACAAATGCTCATAATATTAAGTATCATTTAAATTTTAAAAAATATGAACAAATTGAAGAAATAGAGTTTGAACTTGATGTGTATGCTCTTTCCAAAATGAAAAAATAAAATAAAAAATCCTTTAAATTGAAAGGGAAAAACACTCCAAACTACATGTCAGTATCATACGGTAAGAACAAGTCATTAAGCAGGCAAAATGAATTCCAAAAACCACGGCCAAATAGTTTGATGAAGAAAGAACAAATTCAACTAAAAAATTTAAACTGTTGAATGAGTACTTTTTTAATTATTTATACTGTGTTAAGAAATTCCACAATATTTAATTAATTATCAATTAAATGAAAGCGATGAGGATCATAAAGAATTAATTCAACCCAAAAGGTTAATTAAACTATTGGATGAAGGTATTTTTAATGGTTTATATTATTTTCTAACAATAATAAATCCTTCCCCAAAAGAGGAAAATCTTTGGTGTAGGATCATTTTTTCTCAGGACACGTAGACAGATTTTATACAAATTTCTAGAATCTCAGGATCCTCCTACATATTCCGTTAAGTTTTGTTCCCCCAAAGAAATTACAACAAAAACTTTCAAGTCAGACCTCTCTATGACACTCTTTCATGTAAGAGCCGTTTGATTTTGATTGTTTTACCTTGTGTGCTAACTTAACTCATCATTCCGTGATTACAAAAGCTTTGATATAATAAAAAGAACGAATTCAACTCATCATTCCCACTATTACACTGATTTGATTATATTACAATATTGAAAGGTTTACTGCCCATGAAAGATCTCTCCGTGTTAAACACCATTTTGAAATATAAGCAACAATGATAAATGGAAGTTAAAGAAGAGAAGCTATGTGAAGAGTGTACAATAACCATTATTCACCAAAAAAAAAGTTGTACAAAAACCCAAGTAAATTAAGGTGATTCCTGACACTGAGCAACTCAGCCAGCTTTGTATAACTAGCAATTAAAAGAGGGAATGGAATGGAACCCGATATGCGAACATGTGGCTATATGACCATGAAGCACACGAGCACAGTCACCTCATCACTTTCTGAGCCTGTTCTCTTTTGTTCTGTACGCGTGTTGAGCCACGTTTTGTGTATATATATTTTTTCCTTGTTTTTCATCCTATTTTCACATTTGGCCCATAATATTGCGCTCTCACATACACAGGAACAGGATTCACCGAATAACTATTTCGCTTCATCACCACCACAACTTCATTCCATTTCTTTTCATAAATTGTTTCTCCCTAGTGAAATGTTATTAATTAATTGAAGAAACTCCACATCTTTTTTTTTTATTATTCCCTTATTGGCAGGATTTTATTAGAAAACAAATTTGGAAATAGAGAAACGAAACTGCTAATCATCAAATAACATAATTCCCCTAAATAGTAAATACTACTGTACGCTTCCAAACTAAGCTATTAAACTATCCAGCAAACAGCAGTATATAGGTATATAAGAATTTAATATTTTTATAATATAAAATGAATTATATAGGTTTAGATAAGTTCAGGATATATGATTGCGGGTTTGATATAATTATTTATTTCAACTCCATGTCCATGATATGTTCGTTTTTATGCCCCACTGCCACTGCCACTAACGATAACGATAACGAAACTGTTGATGGGCAACACTCATAGTCTAATGCTATTAGTCAATAAGTTATCATTGCCATGTTTGATTCATGCTACATCTCCAATTAACTTCCGCTATGTTTCTCTGCTGAATCACACCCTTCGCATCCTCTAAATTATACCCAAAGATTCTAAAATGAAAAAATGAAAAAATGAAAACAAAACGTGTGAAAATGGAAAATAAATCCTTTTATGTTTTTGAGTTTTATCATTTTTATTTAAATATTCACAAATTTTGATAGAGAATGATGTGTATAAAAAGGAGATTAGCACAAAACTTTTGTATAACCTTGTCATGTGAAAAACTTAGAAAAGGTCATGTGAAAATCTTACATAAAAAATCCGTTCTCCCGAAAATGTTATTGTTCTGTTATTGGACCTTTCATCTCTTAAGTAATTTTGTGCAGTGATGATATTTATTTATTTTATCAATATATTTTGTGTATTACGTAATCATTAATTGTCAAACTAGAAGGTTGAATTGAGTGTCAGAAGATTTTTGTCATATTTATTTCCTTCCCTGGTAGAACATGGTTTGGTTGCTTCACCACAATTAATTCTTTGTATTAGTTATCAAACTCAGACGAAAAGAAAAAAGTAAAAAACTTATTGATGGTTTTTAATTGAAAGAACATAGACTGGATCCTGTCCAAGTGTCACCAGAATTATTACATATATGAACGGATAAAACCGATACCGTAGACATATTTTTGCAGAAACATTGCAGGATTTTGAAGGCAAAGGGTGCATATACTGTCTTTTTGTTTTAATGTTCAATTTCACTGCTGATTTGTAGAATAAAAACATGAGAAATCATTATGTCTGAGGATTTCATTGATATTTTCATAGCAAATTTGTTCGTCGCATTTCATTTAGTAACAAAAGTAACCCATTTCGAATGTCAAGTTTCAGTATATATTCTCTCTAGTTGAAGCATGCACAAGCATTTTCTGTTGTACTACTACCAGATGTATGCAGAATGGACTTTTTTACAACAGTTACCATTGGGTTCAATTACTCTTGAATATGTAGTGTCAAGTCTCAACTATATAATTTGTCCAAAAGAATCTAAAATATGGTCTTGTACGGGATGACATGAAATATAAATGTTAGATCGTCATGTTTTTCCTCATGAACTGAAACTACACGTGTTCTGTCAAATAAAAAAGGGTATGACATTTAATAAAGTGAATGATAACAATTAAATTCAGTAAGTCGTAGCACGGCAGCATTAAAATTGAGAAGCAAAACAAGAATGACATAACAAATGCTTGCGGAGTTCAGGATGCTGTATTTATTGGAAAGAATTACGAGAAATTGTTGTACTGTGAAGGTATAGTCTCTGCCTAGGCAATGATGCCAATTCCTAGAATAGAAAGTTCTTCAGTGGAATATGGATGATCACATAACACAATTCATAAAATCTTTCTGGCAACAAAGTCTGATAGGTAGAGTCATCATTTACAGTGGTAAAAATGATTCTGTATTTATAGAAATGCAAATTTTTTTGAACGAGTATATATATAGGGTCCGTCGCTTCTCATGTGACTGCTGATGAGAAAAGTTGCAGCAAATTTTTAACACTAGGATACACGTGCGGATCCTAGGATACACGTGCGGATTCTATAAAAAAAAAAACAAAAAAAAAAAAACCAGGATTCGGACGCGTATCCTGTGTTGCTGCAAGTTTTCCCTTCTGCAGTCACATAAGAAGTACTTTCCCCGTGTGTATATATATATATATATATATCTATTGTCAAGGACAAACATTTCTGTCTAGTCTCTATTCATTTGTTGGTTGGATGATCCTACATTCTTCAGCCATTGAACAACTTCTCTAATGCTTGGTCTCTTGAAAGGATTCTGATGGACACACATGCAGGCCACATCAAGTACCTGGAGCATCTCTTCTTCAAAGCCCTTCACTCTCAGAAGAGGATCAAAAACTTGATCTTGTTTTCCTTCACTCCTCATTTGTTGAACCCAGGAAACCAACTCCATTGACATTTTTGGCTTGCTTACATCGATAGGCCTCATCCCAGTGAGCAACTCAAGCATGACAACCCCAAAGCTGTAGATATCTCCTCTCAGAGTCGCCACCCATGCTTGTCCGTACTCTGGGGGAATGTAACCTAATGTACCTACAAGTTCAGTTGTAACATGAGTCTGATAAGGAAGAATCAATCGGGCCAACCCAAAATCAGCAACATGTGCCTCAAACTTATCATCAAGGAGTATATTGCTTGACTTTATATCACGATGTACTATGTGTGGTTCACATATCTGATGCATGTAAGCCAATCCACAACTTGCACCTTGTGCAATCTTCAGTCGAGTAGGCCAATCAAGTTGAGATGGACCATCAACATTTTCATGCAACCAGTAATCCAGACTTCCATTTTCCATGTAAGTATATATAAGAAGCCGAAAGCCCTCATGTACACAATAGCCTTGCAATGCAACTAGATTCTCATGCTGTGCTGTCGACAAAGCCTCTACCTCTGCTTTAAATTCCCTTTCCATTAGACCCAAATCTCCTGAAAGTTTCTTGATTGCCACGGTAGTTCCATCTGGTAATGTTGCTTTATAAACCAAACCAAAACCCCCACATCCTATTATGTTTGCCTGACTGAAATTTTCAGTGGCTTTTAATATTTCAAATATGGTAAGATCCTTTATTTCATTTGTTTTATTAGGGAACAATACCACTACACTAGCCTCCTTGTCAACCTCAGGATGAACTCCACTGCTAGAATAGGCAGAAATTGATTCTAGTTCAATCTTGTCAGAGTCTCCTGGATTGATCCTCCTCTTGGATAGTATCCACACTATCAACACTGAAATGAGGGAAACAGTGCCAAAAGATGCTGCAATGACAAATCCAATTATTAGCTTTTTCTTTAAGCTGTGACCTCCAGCAGTACTACTTTGTTGAGGAAGACAAGAGTGCTGAATAGCTGAACCACACAACTGTGGGTTTCCTTCAAAGCTGGAGGAGGGGAAAGTATCAAATTGACCACCACTTGGTATCTGTCCTTGAAGATCATTGTATGCTACACTGAAAACAGACAAAAAATGCAAACTTTTGAGTGAAGCAGGAATTTGGCCAGACAGTTGGTTCCCTGAGAGATATAGTTTCTCCAAGTTAGTCAAGTTGGAAATTTGAACAGGGATGTTGCCAGAGAATTCGTTATAGCTAAGGTCCAGCTGATGAAGAACTTTCAGTAGGCCAATCTCTGTGGGGATACTGTCATTGAGGCTATTGTGTCCCAGATATATTGCTGGTGGTAGGTTGGAGAGCTGATTATATTGCAGCTGGGAAACATTGTTGGCATTAGCAAAGAGGGGTAACTCCAGGTAAGTCCTTTCTACATTATGATATGCCTCTCCTGATGTTAGTGCTGGAAGCCTTGTGAGCTCCGAAGGAAATATTCCCGTAAGGAGGTTAAAAGATAAGTCTATGTAGAAAAGCTGAGGAAGTGTGCCCAACCAAGGAGGAATTGAACCGCTAATTTGATTATAGGACAGATCCAAGACCTCAAGCTTCTTCAGATTAACAAGCCAGCCAGGTATTTGGCCTGTGAGCTTACAAGCACCCAATGCTAGAACTTGGATCTTTTGGAATCCATCGGGTTGTGTTATGTTTGCATCATCTGGCATCATTTCACCGTGAAAATTCTGGGAGAGCATAAGGGTGCTGAGGTTCTTGAGCCCCATGAGTATCCTCAGAGCCCCGGTGACATTACTCACGTTGTTGGTAGAAATTGATAGGAAAGCCAGAGACTGAAGTCCAAGTATGTCAGGCAAGATCTGTCCCTCAAGCTTATTAGAAGCTAGCCTTACCGCTTTAAGTGACTTGCATGCATAAAGGGTTGGAGGTAGAATACCGCTAAAGGTATTGTTGGCAAGGTCAAGTGTAGTGAGCCTGAGTAGTCCGGAGAAATTGAAAGCTGAGAGATTTCCCCCCAAGGAGTTGACCCTCAAATTCAACATGACAAGATTGACACAGTTTGTCAGAGATGGGGGAAGACTACCAGTTAGATTGTTGGCATGAAGGAGGAGCCTTTCCAATTTGGAGAGCTTGCCAATATCCGGAGGAATGGGACCTGTGAACTGATTGGAGTAGAGCTCCAAAACTGTGAGGTTGGTAAGGCTAACAATGCCATCATCAATGGTTCCAGAGAGTTTATTGAGGGGCAAGGAGATTTCTGTGAGAGCAACAGCATTAAAAATATCACCGGGAAGAGGACCGGATAGGGAATTGAAACCTGCTCGAAATTTCTCGAGCTTGGAACATGCTCCGAGTCCAGTCTCAATCATGCCATCGAAACGGTTGTAGGAATAATCCAAGAATCTGAGGGAGGAGGAGTTATTGATGTTAACGCAGAGGAGAGAAGTGGGAATATGACCCGTGAAGCTATTGTTGCTAACATTAAAAGATGTCAAACTCCCTCCTGTGGCCAGGTTCTGAAGGAGAGAACTTGGGAGCGTTCCATTGAATAAATTACTAGACAAATCCAGCACCCGGATAATACTAGTATTAGTACTGCTACTGCTACTGTGATTAGCAACACCAGAGAGACGATTGTAGCTTAAATCAAGAATCTGCAGGTGATTAAAAAGTGAGAAAAAATGGTTTGGAAGATTACCAGATAACCTGTTATGGGAGAGATTAAGGTGTGAGAGAGCAGTGAGGTTTGTGAGAGATGAGGAGATGAAGCCAGTGAGACCTCTTGATGGTAGGGATAGATGGATGACTCTGTGTTTGTCCTCATCACAAAGAATTCCTTCCCAAAGACAGCAATCAACAGAAGCAGACCAATTGAGAGGGGAAGACGCCGATGATGATATGTTCCTGGCGAAGGCCAAGAGCGACTCTTTATCCACTTGGTTACAAGAGGAGCCTTGAACAATAACAACCACCCATGACACAACTAACAGTATTATCGTCAACTTAGAAACCATGTACACGGAAGAGGGTCGTGTTGATGTTGATGTTGATGATGATGATGATGGGAATGGAGTTTCCCGAGTCATCGGAACAGATACCAAGAAGTAGGAAAAAAATGGAGTCTTTAGGATCCTTGTTCTTCAAAGAATAGAAAGCAGAAAAAATAAGGAAAAAAGGGGTGTTGGGGGAGCGACCATCCATTGACCATGTCCCAGCGACTGGGGATAGAATAGATAATTAGATATGCAAAATGCAAAGAGAGAAGAAGCAAACAACACGAGTATCTGTATTGTAATATGTATCCTTTCTTTTTCCTTCCCATTAAATAAAAATAATAATAAATTTATCATTGAGCGTTTACTTTTGTTATGAGACTGAGAGGAGAGGAGGGGAGGGGCGGCCCCAGTGGAATTTCTTCATGATCGACGAGTATGCCAAACATAACGTGTGGATCAAACTATAATCAACTCGCAAAAAAAGAAAGATAGATAGATACATTGCTTTTTGTTTTCTTGCCAAGTTTTGATGAGGGGATGGATATTCTTTTACTTTCTAGGGTGGGAAGGTGCGTTTTCCGTAAGTGGGTCTTGCACTTGCGTTCACAGTCTCTATGCCGTGCCCCACTGGCCACTCCTCATGACTAGACTAATTTACTCATTTTTAAAACATTGTGGATTTTCTATTCAAATCTACAAGGAAATATGACAATTATGTTACTTTCACATTTGTTGTGGAGGTGTGAAAGATTAAGATACTGTAAAACAATATATTAACTAAATACCACTAGCTCATGTCACTTTACAAATTGCAATAGTTGCTGTCTCCTCCTGTGCCTAGCACGAAACTTCCCGAGACGACCCCTAAAAAAAATTACATAGGAGTTTAGTTAAAATTTAAATAAATATAATCACACTTATGCATCATAATGTGTACCGGTGGAAGGAATTATATACATTCATAGCATAGGAATGCAAATACTACTAAAATAATATTAAATATTGGACTTTGCTTCTTCTTCTTTTGTTGAGGCTGTACTTTGCTTTCTAATTCACAGTGCGGGTGACATCTTACTTTTGGATCACAACTTGTTATTGTAATAATCAAAATTTTAGCTCTAACATTAAAAGTCTAATTGAGCGCATCATTTTTAACTCCTAACTCAATATAAATCAAAAGTAATAGTAAAATTATTATTTCATACATTGAATTTTTTAATAAAATAAAATAATAATATATATAGAAAAAATATTTCTCCAATATCCTCAAAACGATATAATTTTGAAATTTAATAAAAAAAATAGGAATATTTTGAAATTTTTACTTTTCCATTGTATAATGAATTTTATTAAAGGAAAATCATATTCTTCAGCAACAGGCAAATTGATCTCTCATGCAATAGATACATTTTTTTGAAGTGGATCCTATTATTTAATAAAATAAAAAGAAAAAAATGGTTGACACGGCTCTCTATGGGTGTGCAGGAAGAACTGATATCTTCTGCTGTCGGAGAAAATATAGCCCCTTTATTAAATTACCCTATTTTTTTTCAAATACCAAAATATGTCGTTATGGAGATTGTAGTAACTTTATGTCCTATTGCATGAGAAACATGAATCTCAATATATATATATATATATATATGCAGAAAAATATTTCTGCAGTTAATGCAGATAAGTTATCTGCATTTATTTTCAAAACGACGTCGTTTTGGAATTGAAAGTTAGAAAATTATAATTATAAAGATGATAATAACTCTGAAATAAATTAAAATTACAAAAATACAATGTTTTTCGTCCCAAAACGACGTCGTATTGAGCTTACTTAAGATAACTTATCTGCAATAACTGCAGAAATATATATATATATATATATATATATATAGAAAAATATTTCTGCATTTAACGCAGATTTGTTATCTGCACTTACTTCCAAAATGATGTCGTTTTAGGATTGAAAGATTAGAAAATTATAATTATAAAGACTATAATAACCCTGAAATAAATTAAAATTACAAAAATACCATAATTTCCGTCCCAAAATGACGTCGTATTGGGCTCACTGCAGATAACTTATCTGCAGTAACTGCAGAAAAAGCGAACCCATATATATATGGGAAAAAAGTATCCAATGTTACTTTAGATAACTTTATCTAATGTTCATCAAAACGAAGTTATTTTGGAGTTGAAAAATTAAAAAATTAGAATGATAAAGACTATTATAACCCTGAAATAAATTAAAATTACAAAAACACCATGATTTCTGCCTCAAAACGATGTTGTTTTGATGAACATTAGATAAAGTTATCTAAAGTAACTTTAGAAAACACAAACCCTATATATATATATATATATATATATATATATATATATATATATATATATAGGGTTTGATGTTTGTTATTTTAAATGACATAAGTATGTCATTTTAAGAGAAAGATAGACACAAGAAATGAAAATCATGGGAGAGAAAGTGAATGGTTATTTTAATTTAAATTTTAAATAAAAAATAATATTTTGTGTCTATCTCTATCTTAAAATGACATAACTTTATATTATTTAAAATAAAAAATACTTTTCCCATATATATATATATATATGTATGATATTTTAGTAAAATTCATTATATAAGGAGAAAATAAAATTTTTAAAATAGCTTTAATTTTTTTCCTAAACCCCAAAACGTTATTTTGGAATTGCAGGAAATAATTTTATTTATGTTATAGGAGACATATTTTTCTTGTAAAACAATTTTGATGCGAAAGAGAAAATTAATAATTATAATAATTAATTTAAATTTAAAAAGTATTAAAATTAATTTTATTTAATTTATTTTCATTAACGAAATATTAAAAACATTTTTGTTTAGTTGATAAGATTAAGGGATTTGATGCCTCTCTTATGATGTTTACTTAATAATATAGAGATTTGCAATTATATATTATTTATAGAAAAAATTATTATAATAATTTAAATTTATATAGTTTACCAAAAAAAAAGTATATAAATTATTTTTACCAAATAGTTTATTTTTTTATAACTGGAGCTTTTAAATTTATAAAGTTATATAATCGCCAAACAATACATTAAGTAATGTGTTATAATATCTTATTGTTTAATAAGTTTAACAATACATAAAATCTCTAACTCATTAAGTAATGTGTTAACATATTTTTTTTTTTTTACTTTTTTTGGGTAAATAGAACATTTTTTTACTTAAAAAATATATAAAGAGAATAATACTTTTTTATATCACCGAATAAGAAATTTTTCTTCTGCTCACATATGAAATAGGTGGAGTTCACTGAAAATATGTGGACATTAGACTCCACTTGTTTCATTACATTGAGATAAAGAAAATGGCGAAAATTTAAAACTAGTGATTTGATTGATTGGATATTTTATTGCAACATAGATGACTCGATTATATTAAGTATAGGCTGTTTACCAAAAAAAAAAATTAAGTATAGGCTTGCGTGCCTTAATTAAAAGATGCGAGGAGCATTGCTTATACACCGTCCATAGTATACCCATATAGGCAGTAAAGTTAAAATCTAAAAAATAAATTGTTAGCTATTCTACCCAAAAAGTGACTATATGCATGAAATATAAAAGGGAAATTATTATCTTATATTAAAAATTGTTTCATCATTTTTATTTTTTTAATAGATTGTGGACTCCATCACATCATGTGTCTATAGTAGGAGATAATTATTTCTAACAATATAAAAAAATAGAATCCCAATATAAAAACATAAACCAAGCAAATTAATGTAACGAGTGTATGGCGTACAGTCAGTGTTCTAACCTTTTTATTTTTTGGTAGACTGTTCTAACCTTTGTATTAGTTTGAGAAACATATTGTCGAATCATTTTATTCCAAAGGACAAAACAAATGGTTGTATTATTTCACGAATATAAAATATAAGGTTTGAAAACTCTTGTTGACTCGTTAACAACACATTTTATACGCTTAAGGGATACGTGAAAGCAACTTGTTATTATAAAATTGAGTGTTATTTTCAATGTCCACACCCAATTCAAAATCAGTTTCTGCGGAGCGTTATATTTATAAATTTTTTATTTACAAATTATGTTATGTCTGACCGATAAAACATTAATTCTTGAGTAGAGTATTACTGGTCAGATATAATATAATTTATAACTTTATAAAAAAAAAGTTTATCAATATAACTCTACTCCATATGAATTAGCTTAAAGAAAAAAAAAGTTCTTTCGAAAAGGCCAAAAGTTTAAAATTCTGATGATCTATACAAAAATGGGCTATATTTCTCTTATATAATAGAAGAGAAATTATCTTATATTGAGAAATAAATAAAATAGAGTCTATCGATTTTATTTTATTTTTTTTAAAAAAAGATAGGCACATCTCTTTATGTGAGTATAACATGAAAGATGATTTTCATGCAATATGAGAGCATAATTTTCCTACAAATATAAAAAAAAATTATTTGTCTTTTTAAATGATATAAAGCTTATGTCCTGTCATCCTTTTATAATTCTGTATTTTGAGAAATATATAGTTATAATATTAAAGTTATTTTTTTCTCTTCGAAAGCTTTTCAAGAATTTATCGACTGACGTGTAGAGAGAAAAAAAAATTAACTTTCATATTATAACTATAAATTCTCCAAAAACATAATTATAAAGAGTGAAATGATATAAGCTTATATTCTTTAAAATGACGCATACTAAACCCATAAATATAATATAAAAAATAAATATGTCAATTACATATGGTACGAGTTGTGTTATGATAATCGACGTAGAAGCATGTTAATTAGCGAAATTCTATGATTGGTGAATCAAGTGGAGAACCAAGACCAGTATTTAACTTCACAAAAATAGCTATCTAGAAGTCTAGAACTACATCTGCATTCAGTACATTATTTATCAAAGTAAGTATAGCTATCTACATATCTACTTATACATCCAATCAAATTATCTATTAATTTTTATTTAATCTACTTGTGTATTAATCTGAAATTGCGTTCCTATATTATGCTATATTCTATCAAGATAAATATATTTTGTAATTAGTTTTTCTATTTATTAAGTTTTGTTTCGTGTACATAGCATTATGGTTATGATACATAGATGGTAGCTGTCATAGATACATACATGGGAAAGTTTGTTATTGATGTGTAAGCATTGGCACAATACGTGCATTAGTTTTACTTTTCTGTTATGAGAGCATCTGTATATAGCTCTCCTCCTTTTGTATTTATGTGATGATGAATTAATGAGAATTATTTTTTCTTGTAAAATGGTA